TCCATGCCAAATATGACGACTGTAGGTCAAAGGAATCTTAAGTTATTGGGCGGACAAGCTTTTTGAAGTCAAGGCCCCTGTGACCTTGACCTTTGACCTGGTGACCTCAAAATCAATAGGGGTCATCTACCAATCATGACTAACATCCATGCCAAATATAAAGACTGTAGGTCAAAGGAATCTTAAGTTATTGGGCGGACAAGCTTTTTGAAGTCAAGGCCCCTGTGACCTTGACCTTTGACCTAGTGACCTCAAAATCAATAGGGATCATCTACTAATCATGACTAACCTCCATGCCAAATATGAAGACTAAGGGTCAAAGGAATCTTAAGTTATTGGGCGGACAAGAAAAAACCGACGGACGGTCGGCGGACGGACAGCCGGACGGACGGACGGACAAGCTGATTCCAGTATACCCCCCTTACAACTTTGTTGTGCGGGGGTATAAATACCCATTTTTTAACTTATACAGCAAGAAACCTATCAAAATACTTGTGTACATTATTGACTCTGTGGCTGAGTGAATTCAATAACTGCAAATCATTTAGCCCTCGCAATTTCAGGTTCGGGTCCCATTTGGGAATTCAGATTCTTTCATGTGAAGAAGCTTTATAAAAAAGAGAAAATAAGAATCCCTAAAGAAAGCCCAACATAACATAACTGAAAATGTTGCAGACTCGGTTTGATTGAGCCTGTTCATGGATGGTACTGGAAAGTGCCGAGCCCCCTAGCACCGGCTTAAGCACAATTCAACATTTAAACATGAAATGGTAAAATTTTGAATTTAGAAACTAGCTTATTGAAGACCCATGGTTCAACTTAGATACCCTGTTGTGACAAAAAGTGCGTGAAGATGCACATAAAATCTTCCTCTAAAAACAAAAAAAAATAGCAAAAAAACAAAATTAAATAAAAAATTTGAGTACAATGGGACACATTTGGAAGGTAATGAATATTGCATTTATGTGACATATTTTATGTTCATGAATATAAAATTGTGAAAATTGTTCATTAAGCTGTTTGTAAATATATACTACATGACAATATAATGAACAGCAACTTAGTTGTAATAATATGAGTTTTTTTCTATATTATATAAAAGATTTTACCTGTCACACTGCTGCATGCACCACTGGACATAACAGTAGGCAATACAACTGATTCACTGCCTAAAAGAGAATAAAATTTATTCTTCCATAACAAATTATTCAATGATTATATTATAATTATTTTCTTCTTCATTTAATATAGTAGTTAAATATATTTTCTTTTATTCTGAAAAAAAGCTAAAAACATGACATATGTGTTGTCAATTGATACTAAACTTAAAATGAAAATTCTAAATTGATACTAAAATTAAACTACTAAATTGATACTAAACTTAATTCTTTTACAATATCAATAGATTACTTAGTGCTTTATTATATTGCATGACTACAGAAAATCTCAGTTAATCTTGTTTTGCAATATAATCATTAAGATAATATCTTTGGATTAGGTTTATAGAAAAAGAAAAGAAAAATAAACAAGAGGGCCAATTGTGACCTTAGGGCTTTTATTTGAACAAACTTGCAAGAGATCTGATAGAAGTTGTTTCATGCTGAATATCTAAGCTATTTGGTTTTTTTTAAAAGATTTTTTTTAAGTATTTACTATACACATTAAAGGAAAATTAATGACCCCTTGGGATGAGGGCAAACTTTGACCACAGGGCTTTTTTACAAACTTTGTAGACAGTTCCGGAAGATGTTTTATGCAAAATATCTAAGCTCTAGCTCTTTGAGTTTCTTAAAAGAAGATATTTTATGGTTTATATATCTAAAATAATATTGGCCTGTACCTGTTCCAGTTGAAGGCAAATATTTGTCTATTGCAGTCTCTTGTGTGCTTCCTAAAATAAAAATGCAGTTTTAAAAGGTCATCCTATAAAAAATTTGCTTAAAATAATAAATAATGTAGATGTGTAGATCTCTGTCAGACATCAATTCACATTCCAGTTAATGGGACTGTAATGACAAAATTTTGGTGACTTTACAAATTATTTATGTAAAAAACATTTATAATCTATAATCATATAATCATTAGAAAGAATGTATGATATTTAAACTAATCTACATTTGTTACGTTCTGTTACTCTAGAGAAAAAGGTATACATTGTGAGAATCATAATGTCTTTATAATGTCAGCTAAAATCACTTCATAAATAAATATTTCTTGCTAAAGGTCATAACCTTTAGATAACTCCCAGCTACTGAATCTTTTTTTAGGAAAAATTATATAACACATAAATTATGACCTCTGAGGGCAGGGCCTATTTCGACCGAAAAGCTGTAATTTAAATAATCTTAATAAAGGTTCAGTTGATAATGCTTCATGCTAAATGCCCTTGTAATTCTTTAAATTTCAACTACATATATAATTATATATATAAGGAAACATATTAACCCTGAAAAGGGGGCCATAATATGAACAATCCTGGAAGAGATCTAATATTGCCTGTTGCAAAATGTCTATGCTATAGGCCTTTTTCTTCTATAGAAGAAAATATCAAAATTTCTTTCTATTATTTATTTCACAGACAAACACACACACATACACACAAACACACAAGTAATGCTAAATTGAGTAATTTTTAAATAAAATAAAGGAAAGCAAACTAATAATTTACCTGATGATACCATTTCTGCCTGGTCTCCTCCAGCATACATGTTTATAGTTTCTATGTAAATATAAAATGGAACTTATTATATTATGAGCACTACTTTATTAACTTCATAAATGTTGTTTTTTTTTAATGCATACATTGAAAATTAATTAAAGTAAGTAAAGTAAGTAATTTAAAAATTGAATTCATACAATTTTATATTCTATTTATAATATACACTAAAGTTCAAATACAATTTCTTAATCAATATTAATACTCAATAGTTTTGCTTGTAAAATTATTTATAAAGCAAGACCTTAAAGAATGCATGCTAAAATGTTAGGTTTTTATTTCTTATATTGGTACATAATTTCATTAAGATATTTTCCTTACCACTTGATCCTTCCAAAGTGTCCACTCCTCCAGACACACCTTCGACAGAACATTTTGTCAGACAACTCACAATCTATTTAAATTAATAAAAAAAGTTCTTTTGTAATCCTATTTGATATCATAATGTACCATGAATATAATTATGATGTGTTAGATTTACCATATACAATTAAATCTGTTCAGGCCATAAATTGATAATTTAATATTACTTATAAAGGGGAGCGGTGGCCTAGTGGTTAAGGTGTCTGCCTCTCAACCAAGAGATCATGGGTTCTGACCCTACTCGGGTCATGACCATATTTCTTCATATGACACCAGTACTGGTTAATTCCAGGAAGCGGAATCGAAAGTGATTAATATAAGTTGCAAGAACTTGTTTCGCAATCGAGCTTAAGTAAATATGTTTAAACCAATATATTATTTATATAGTTTGCAAGTATTTCCGAGCCATACATTTAATAGGCTTATGCAGTTATAAAGTCAACATTATTATTAAAATGTTGGCTTCATTGCTATAATTGTAATGTCATTTCTTTATCACAGCTAGGAAACCTTTTTATGTAAATTAATTACCTTATCTGTCTTCCATTAAGTCAGACCCCTGCTGGGGACCTACACTTTGAATATATTGTTATTGTTATGAATTAAAATAGTCTTGCTAAGGAAAATTCATTTCTTCAGCTGATTTTTATTTCTAAAATAATGATGTGATACTTACAACTTTCTCCCAGGACTTTAGGTCATCAGTGGGTCCAGTACCACCACCTGTCATTCTTTGTCCTCTAAGCCTTGAGGCTTCCTTTTTCTTGGTGGTACTGGACACATCCAACCACTTTTTTTTCACTTCACTAGTCTCCCTCCTCACACCGGAGACATTGACTGCATTTATACTGAAATTAAGTAGTAATATTTACAACTATTATTACAGTAAATAGACACCAATTTATTAAAAAAGATATTAAGTTATTGAACTGAAGAATAATACTTTTTTTTATGTCTTCAAAATTTGAGGGGTGAAGTGTCTTGCTATCTTTTGTTCAAAGGAGTTAAAAGTCATGCAGTAAAATGGATCAAGTGAATTTATTTCAGTAGGCTTCTGATATTGAATTATTTTAAGCATTAAAATAACTAATTACGCTTCATTGGATTGTTTAACTTTTTTAGTTCTATTTTTAGTGTCCGTTTCTTAGCATCAACAAAACAACTTCTCATTGGTTTAGATTTGATATTCATACACCTTGGCTATTTATAGGGACTTGTTTCCAGTTTTCATTGCTATTAGTATTTTTGTAGTGTCGCTTGATTTCAAAAAAAAAATCTCGAAGTTGTTTTTTAGGGTGTGGCATTCCCGCCTTTTTATTTTATTACGTCTTAAAGTTTCAAGTTATCACTGGACATTCATATTAGTTTAGAAATTAATTTCTCATTTGAAGGGATATAGACCCTTGCTGGGTTTATTATTCCATTCTAGTCGAAATAAAATGTCTTCAAGGACTACTGAAAGGAAAAAAGGTCGCGTAGACTATATAAAAAAATGATCGAAGGAGAACCGTGGATTTCGGACGCCAATGGAGAAGAGGTTAATAAGTTGCCGACTGCTTCTGCGGGTTTATTGGAGGAATCGAAGCCCTGTGGGATTTCAGTTTGTAAGAAGCAAGCGTCTGCTGATACTGAGGACTCAGATCTGGATAGCATGAAGGAGGAATTGACAAGTTTAGAAAAAGAAGAAAAAGAGCTTATCGCCCAGCGGGAGAAGGCAGAATTAAGACGCAAACTTAAAGAAAAGAGAGAAGCCGTAAAATCGTTAAAGGGTAACGAATTTTCGTCTATTTCTAACTCTTTGTTTGATACAAAAGAACCGAAGAAAAATTGCACAAAAAAGTAAACAAGAGCTCTCCTTCGCAGAAAAGTCAGGATAAAAAAGTAACTTTAAACTCTTTGAGACAAGATAATGATTTAAAACGTTAAGTTCGGCGTAAGCTTAGCAAATTAGGTCTTGAAGAAATTTCTATTGATACAAGTTGTTCAGATTCGGATACGTCTGATAATTCGGACAATGAAGTATCTAGTATTGTTGATTCGTCAGAAGAAGATTTCTCTCCCAGTTCTAATAAAAATATGAAAAGAAAGAGCTCTCATAGATCTGGTATCGAGGCTAAATCGTCTGATAGAGTGAAATTTGTTAAAAAATATCCGCATTCTCAGTTAAGATACGAATTTGTTGATCAGAGTCTGTCCTTCAATGATTTGTCTATGAATCTTTTTATAGCTGGTGAATTGGAGATTATCTCTGATAATGACACCAAATCTACAGAAAGGAAAGGACGAATGGGATTACTTAAAAGATTAATGTATTTAGGCGTATCATATGGTTTCAGCATTTTAAAGGCATATTATGCAGCTGTTCTTAGAGAGATAGAGCTTGGTAAGAAGTCCTGGTCTGATGATTTCCATTATATTGAAATGGCTATTCTAAGCAAATATCAGCCTCAAATTCAGGGCAAGTCTACATCTATTACAAGAAATCGTAGAAATTTCGCAAAGCAGGTTTCTAATGAAAGTCAAGGTTCAACTTGGTTCTGTTCTCCTTATCAGAGAAATAAATACTCTAACAAATCTGGTCACATGATGGTTGTAAAAGGTACGATGCGTATGGCTCAACATAATTGTGCTTTCTGTTGGCAGAAAGATAAAAAGAAATTGGATCATCCGGAGTGTTCAACGGCTTGTCCATATGTTATGCAATGACTGTTTTCATGCAACAGAAGTTTCAAGAATGAAAATAAGGTTGAAGATTTGTTTTTGCCAGAATTTTGTTTCAAAAAATCAGAAAGTAATATAAAGGAAAATTTTCATGTTTGTTCTGGTTCTTGTCACTTGTGTAGTTTTGTTAAAAATATTTCTACTTTTTCAAAAGTTAATGAAAAAACTGTTAATTCATGAATTGGTTAAAAAGTCAGGAAAACATAATTTTGAAGGTTGCCGTATTCCAATTAATAGCAAGATAAATACTTCATATATGAGACAGATTTTGTCAACCTTTCAATATAATGATATGCTGGTATGTGATTTTTTGGAATTTGGTTTTCCTATAAATTTTTCTGGTGATGAAAATGCATTTTCAAAATCTTTAGAAGCTTCTAATTACAAAAATTATAAAGGGGCCAATGATTTTCCTGTTCAAATTAACAAATATTTGCAAAAAGAGATTCAAAATGAGCACATTATAGGTCCTTTTAAATAAATCCATTTTCAAATAATATGTTAGTTTCTCTTTTAAATTCGGTACCAAAGAAGGAGGTTTCAGACAGAAGAGGAATTTTAAATTTGAGTTCAAATACTTCTTGTGCGGTTAACGATTACATTGAAAAGAATGAATATTTAGGGATGGCGAGTTCTACTATTTTTCCCAGAATTGATGATTTTGTTAAGGTGATTTTAGCTAAAGGCACTTCGGCTAGGTTATTCAAAAAAGACTTGAAATGCGCATACAGACAAATTAGTATATGCCCTTCTGACTATAATTTAGTGGCTTATTCTTGGAATATTCTTTTTTTGTGATGTTGTTTTATCAATGGGTCTTCGCAGTGCTGCTTATATTTGTCAGCGTGTTACTAATGCTGTAGCATTTATGTTATTTGGTATGGGTATCTCTGTTTTGAACTATTTAGATGATTTAGCAGGGGTTGAAAATCCAGAGCTTGCAGATTTTGCTTATTCAACTCTAACAAGAGTTTTAGAGTTGTGTGGTTTACAAGAAGCTGTAGAAAAATTTTCACCACCCTCTACAATCATGACTTTTTTAGGCGTTTTGTTCAATACTGAGACTATGACTATGGAAATCACTCCAAATCGTTTGATTGAGATTCGTAGTTTGGTGAAAGTATGGTTAAATAAAAAAAGTTGCTACCTTAAAGGAGCTTCAGTCTCTTTTAGGGAAATTGAACTTCATAGGAGCTTGTGTTAAACCTAGCAGGATTTTTGTGGCTAGATTGTTAAATTGGCTCAGACAATTTGTATGGTGCAGATAAAAAGGTCAAACATCGTATTCCTGATCAGGTTAAAAAAGACTTGCTATGGTGGAATGAAATTTTTGCCAAAATATAATGGTATTTCTTTGTTTGTATCTAGGACCGTGGTGTGAGCCAGATACTATTTTAAGTTGTGATGCTTGTCTGGAAGACTGTGGTGGTTTTTGGGAAGGGAATTATTTCCATTCTTTATTTCCATCAGAAATTTTGTCATTTAATTTACATATAGGTGCTTTAGAGATGCTAGCCTTAGTACTTTGTTTACATTTGTGGGCTTCTAATTTTAGGCATTCAAGGATAGTCATTTTGTGTGATAATCTTTCTACATGAATTGCTATTAATTCCGGAAGGCTAAATGCCCGTTTCTTCAAAAATACATAAGGGAGATTTGCTTCATTTCTGCAGTTTATGAATTTGAAATTCAAGCTCAACATATCTCTTCATCAGAGAATCGTTTAGCTGACCATTTATCAAGATTTGAACAGGGTGAATTTCATCGTAATGAGTTCTTTAGTTTAACAAAGAATTATAGGTTGAAATAATTTTCAGTTAAAAGTACTGATTTTGAAATCTTAAACCCATGGTGAATTTACAATAAATCAGTGGTTTAATTGTTTTTTTAAATTTCAGAGGTTCAGTTTATGGGGTTGAAGCATGATCTTATGTTATCTAACAAGCAAGCTTATGCTGAAGGAACATGGAAAAATTTGAAGATTCAATGGGAGGCACTTCTGCTTTTTTGTACCTATTTTCATTTGGTTGCTCTGCCAGTTTCTACTGAAACACTTTATTTATATGCTCAGTTTCTGAGCAGATCCATGAAATCAGTTGATTCAATTAGAAATTACATCAGTGGTGTTAAAACAATGCATTTGTTACTAGGTACTTCATTTGAACATATTAATATTTTTTTACTAAATTTATCTCTTAAAGGGATAAGTAAACAAAAGCTGTATTTGCATAAACAGACGACTCCTATTACTCCAGAAATTCTGCTGAGTATTTTTAAATGTTTGGATTTTACTCAAGTTGATAATGTTGTTTTTTTTTGGTGTTTGTTTTTATTTGCTTTCTTTTTATTGGCTAGAAAATCAAATTTGGTACCAACAAATATAAGAGATTTACAGAATCCAAAGTTTTTGTTGAGAAAAAATATTGTCAATTTAGGCACTTATTTGTTGGTTAAAATGAAATGGTCAAAAACTATACAAGCTGGAGAACGGATTTTAGAGGTTCCTTTACACAGTATAGATCATTCTTGTTTATGTCCTGTATCTGCTTACAATGATATGGTTAAGGTAGTTCCTGGCAAGGCTAATGATCCTTTTGTTTTTGCTAGGCTCTAATAAACCAGTTACATATGCAATCTTCATGAGAAAATTGAAATCTTGTATTGACAATATTGGTTTAAATTCTGAGGACTTCTCTACTCATTCTTTTCGTAGAGGTTTCGCTACTTATGCCTTTAGGCTTAATTTACCTGCAGATCTTATTCAATTAATGGGTGACTGGAAGTCAGATGCCTATAAAAAGTATATAGAGTATTCTTTCCAAGATAAATTAAGAGTATCAAAATTCATTAACAATAAATTAAAAAATGATTAGATATAATATTTAATGTCTTTCAGTTAGAAGGCATAATTTCAATTACAGTTATCTAAAGTATTCAATTCAAGGGTAGTAGAAATTGTTTTGACATTCAAGTCCCTAATTAAAGTCTTTGTTTATTTTGTTACGTTTTGAATTTCTTATGTGGCTTCATTTTAATCGATGGAGTTTCTGTTACAACATGATGAATACACAAGTTGGCAGAATTTTCACATATAGAAACTTCACAATTTGCATATCAACTGTTTAAGGACAGTGTTTTTATGTAATGTTATAATTTTATTTCCTATGTGGGTTCATTTTAATTAATTATGTATCTGTTACAACATGATGATTACACATGTTGGCAGAATTTCACATATTGAAATTTCACTATAAGTCCAGCAACTGTTGAGGGACAGTGTTATTTATGTAATATGTTATGATAATATTTTCTTATGTGGCTTCGTTTTAATTAATGAAGTTTCTGTTACAACATGATGAATACACTGGTTGGCAGAGTTTCACATATAGAAATTTCACCATTTGCATAGCCACTGTTGAAGGGCAGTGTTATTGACAAGTTTTCACATATAGAAAACACATTTGGCATAGCAACTGTTGAAGGACAGTGTTATTTATGTAATATGTTATGATTTTATTTTCTTATGTGGCTTCGCTTTAATTAATGAAGTTTCTGTTACAACATGATGATTTCACATGTTGGCAGAATTTCACATATAGAAAACACATTTGGCATATCAACTGTTGAAGGACAGTGTTATTCATGTAATATGTTATGATTTTATTTTCCTATGTGGCTTCGTTTTAATTAATGAAGTCTCTGTTATAACTTGATGTTTACACAAGTTGGCAGAGTTTCACTTGCAGAAATTTGATTATTCTCTTGATTTTGTCTCTTCTGTTAACATACATTTATATAAGTTAGCAGAATTTTCTTATTGGGTAAAATTATTATATATTTGAAGTCTTTATATATTGTATTTTGTATTTCAAAAGTATTCTATCTTTGAATACTTAATTAATTTCAGAGTTCAGGAAGGTGATCATTGTGGGGGATTCTATGATAAAAAACTTACCACTGATTGAGGGAGTTGAAGTTAGAGCCGTCAGAGGTGCTACAATCGGTAAAATCAATTTTCTTCTAGAGAAAAGACAGCTGTCTCTTGGTTCTAGTAACTATATAATTATTCATGCTGGTACCAATAATATTGCCAATGGCAATTCATGTGACTATATTTTATCTGCTCTGGCAAATTGATTGCAACAGTCCGTCGTTTAAAACCAGACATTCATATTATCATATCTTCTATACTTCCTCGGCCGGTGGATAAGGATGAAACTGAGACAGTTATCAAACAAGTCAATAGTCGTTTTGAAAGATAAATGTCCAAAGATTTGAATGTGAAGTTTGTGAAATCTTTCCGTCCATTTTTGTTTAAGGGGCAGATCAAAAGATTTCTTTTTGCCAATCTAGATGGAGGGTTACATTTGAATACAGAGGGTTCAAATCGTTTGGGTCATTTCTTCTTGAGGGTTATTTCTACGCTGAATTATTAAATATTTTGTTATGAGTTTCTTCTTGATTGAAGAAATACTGTCTACAGTTGGATGTGTTAACCGTCTGGGCAGTTTAGTCATGACAAATTATTCTGAGGTTCTAATTGTATAATATATATATATATATATATATGTATATATATATATATATATATATATATATATATATATATATATATATATATATATATATATATATATATATATATATATAATAATATTATGTTAGTCTTATGGTAGTAATTGTTAATTTAAATTACTATTTCATTTATTTCTACAATATGTGTTAAATTTTGAATCTTTCAGAAGATTCCTGTATTTAAATTTTGTTTCTGCTGTCTAAGGTAATAATATTTTGATTTTGTGTTTTGTTTATTTTGTTTGCCTTAGTTAGTTGGGCTTAGGGATGGCGGTTATTTGATTATCTCTAAAGTACTTTGACGTTGATTATATTCATTACTTTAGATATTGATTGCGACCCTTGGGACAAATAAATTTATTAAATTATATCTGTTTTAAGTTTTGATATCTAAGGAAAGTAATTGAATTACTTTAAGCATTAAAATAACTTATTACGCTTCATTTGATTCTTTACCTTTTTTAGTTCTATTTTTAGTGTCCGTTTCTTAGCATCAACAAAACAACTTCTCATTGGTTTAGATTTGATATTCATACACCTTGGCTATTTATAGGGACTTGTTTCCAGTTTTCATTGCTATTAGTATTTTTGTAGTGTCGCTTGATTTTCAAAAAACCGGCCCTCCCTCCGCTATTTGTTTGGATGTTATTTGTTTTCATATATTTCTACTGTTTGTGTTAATCTTTATACAGTACAGGCGGTTATTTGATTATCTCTAAAGTACTTTGACGTTGATTATATCCATTACTTTAGATATTGATTGCGACACTTGGGACAAATAAATTTATTAAATTATATCTGTTTTAAGTTTTGATATCTAAGGAAAGTAATTATCAAAAGACATAAACTTAAACCAATAACTCTCGGACTCCTCAACTAAATGTACAACCCCTAACTAAAATCTAACATTTTCATAAGGTTGTCTATACATGTATATAGAATGTAAACAATGCTTAACGAGTTCATGCGCACCAGCGTTAAAAATAGGCATCTATATATAGAATATCAACAAGAGAGAAAATTAGGTCATATAAATACATGTCAAATTACCGCTCTGTAATGCTTTCCCAGCATTTCATTTTCTGGGCATTTGATAGCCCTGGGGAAAATTTCCCTTTGATAGTCAATAGATTTTCTGACACCGCCTGCGCCAGGGCGTCCAGTTCATCACTGGACCAGTTCGGCTTTCTCTTTGAAGCGGCCATTTCCTTTTCAAGCAGACGATTATGAAACCGGAAACTAATATTGCGCAAGCGCACCGAAACCGAAAGTACGTTGCTACGGTAGCTTTTTATCTTAAGATTTATCGTAAGTGTATTTTGAAAAAAAATATCGTAAGATATTTTTTTTCACTTACGATTGGTTTTGTGAAACAGACTTAAGATTTCACTTACGATTATCGTAAGTGAAAAACTTAAGATAAATCGTAAGATTTTTTGTGAAAATGTCTGCAGAGTCCTCTATATACAGGGTATCAATTTCATGTGATTTTTTATAAAGTTTACGACGTAAAGTTTATGAAAATAGCTGAAGCTCTTTGTAAATATATTATTTGATCCTGCAAATAAAATGTTAAGCTTATCCTCTGCAAAGAAAGCGTTTGGTCCGGCTTTGATACATCTGTGATTTTCAATATTTTTCCACCTGTTACAGTCGGTGAAAGTCAAACAAAACTCACAAATAATAATTTAAAAGGCTCTTCAGGTTTCTTAAAGATTTAAGCGAAATGAGTATAAGGTTGCCCTCATTCTTAACAGAAAAAAAGATCTATACACCAATGAAGCTCTCAAATACGTTTCTAGGTACGCCCAAGACAACATGTATCATGAAAAATAGCAAAATGATAAAGCATAAAAAAACGAAGGGAAAATACCAAAATATTTTGAAAGGTATACATATCATTCTTGTATACTGTAATCCTCCTGAATTAGATATATTTTCCTATGAAGTTCCATGTTAATACCTTTAATACTTGACGAGTTATGCTCTAGACAAAAATTGACAAATGGGGAAATGACAAGGGCGATAACTCAAAAACATCAGTAGAAGAGTTATCGTTGGGATGAACTGCACACCTGAACGAGATATATGATGTTTCATGTTTTACCTCAAAAATGCTGAGCGTTACGCTCCGGACAAAAATGTGGAACGGAAGGACGAACGGACAAAAGGACAGACAAAAAATAATGACAGTTACAATATTCCTCACAAAAAATGTTTGCCTTGGGGTGAATTGAAAACGTATTACCAATCGAGTTATTTTAAGTGTTTAAAATAGTACGCAGTGTACGCTGACTTAAGATCACGAGGGTTGCCATCATAAAAAACGCAAATTAATCAAATAATAAAATTGAAACGTTCAGAATAAATGAAGATCTTCATTATATCATTTCTTGGTAGAGCAAAATAAAATAAATGTTTAAGTAAAAAGACTATTCTTTTTTTTAATTTTAAAAGTAGTTTGTCGACCAAAATTTAAAGCAAAAGCTCAAAGATGATTTAGATGTAAGGAGCTCTTGTGATTGCAGTGTCTGTCGTGCTTCGTCCTCCGTTATAATAAGTTTCCATATCATCCACAGGTTTCAAAATCTTTAAAATAAAATACTCTCAGAACATACAATGCCAATATCCAATGTCATCAGATATTTTGTCTGTATTTCTACGTTGTTATCATATACACAAGCTATATACATTATACTCCTTTGGTCAAAATTGGCCCGGTGTCTAATGGTCCTGTCTACCTGTCTAATGGTTACTTAGACTTATACAGAAAACAAAATTAAGTTTTCTTCTATGAAATGCCAAAAGTTTTGATATTTGACAAGAAGTGTTTACTACGGGACATCTACATAAGTATGCAGCTTAGATCAAATGTAACAACCTGCTGTAACCTTATTACTGTTGTTATGCATCGGAGAATCGTGATATATTCTAGAAATATATTCATGTGATGGTGCTATTGTAAAGATGTAACTGACGAACAATCTGGTGACTTGTATCTCCATTTAAGTCACTTCCCGTGTTTATTTGTAAAGTATTACACGCCGTTCTGGACTTTCGGTCATTAACTTTCATGAACACTTTCTATATATATATATATTCATATATATATATGTGTGTGTTAAAAAAGCTTCATAATAATATTTTGTATAAGCCCAAAAATTGTTTGAGTTCCGCACATATGGTATAAGATTAAAAGCCTATATTACGCTCCTAGATGGTGTGCATAGGTAAACTTAGACAATTAAGGATTGACGGTTGTTAATGTCATTGAAAAACTTGCCAATCACCCTTGATGTTTGAGTCCCACTTGAATATTTTCATTTGAGGAAGCTATCAAGCTAGATTTCGGAACGTAAAGGGTGTTCTACTAAAGTGCCCACTCATGCCCAAAATAATGCACGAAGTGCCACCAGAGGTATTTCTCCACCATTACAGTTTTAATTTCGCTATGTGACCTTTTATGTTTCGGTACGACGTAAAAACCCAACCAAAACACCCCATAAAGACAATAATTTTAAAGTTTACCTATTAACTATTGCTACACAAAGACAATGCTCTTGATTAATTACATAAGCTAATATAAAGTGTTGAAAACGAACCTTGGTGTGAACAGCAGAGGTAGCTCTTTTTTGTTCTCTGTCAATACATTTTTTTGCCTTTTTTACGGATTCTTTAATTTCATGGTCAATCTTCCGTTTTGCCTGTTTCTGGGCTGTGTTTATTTTAGATATGGCAACCCTTTCCTTCATAGAAATTGTTTGCTTTGCAGCTAAAGCGACATTCTGAACTTTATCAAAATCTTTGTGTACAGCCAATGCTTTCTCATCAAGTTTACGCAATGATTGTGCTGTTCTTTCGTCAAGTTCGGTTAACGCCTTATTTCTGTTCTCAAGAAGTGACACTGTGTCTCCCTGGCTTATTTGAATTGTGTTGTTTTTTAACTGTAATGTAAAAGGAATATATATGTTTAATATACATATCAACTGTTTGCTTAAAACTCATTTTGTTTGATATGTCTAGTTAAATCTTACTATCATATCGCTTGGGCAATAAATAATTAAAACAAGAACGTGTTTGTTAAACACAAATGCCCCCGGCTCAGATTCTTGTCAGTAGCAATATTTCAAACTCAGTTATGGACAGAAAAATTGCCAAAAAATTGTAAACACAAGTTATATAGCTTGACAAAGTCATGGCATTTTGTAATTGTGAAAAATATAAGTTGCAAATGTATTGCTCTGACTTGTGAAGTTGAAAAATATTCAACTTCATGCAAGTTATCTTCCTACCAAATATGAAATACATCTGTCAATAAATAAAGGCTGTATGGGCAAAAGTGTAAAAATCTATTTTGAGTATTGGTTACCTTGACCAAACTGACCCCTTTCTATCCAAAAGAAGAATACCATGTAAGTTATCTTCCTACGAAATATGAAATACATCTATCAATAAATAAAGGCTGTATGGGCAAAAGTGTAATAATCTATTTTTAGCATTGGTGACCTTGACCCAACTGACCCCTTACTCCATCCAAAGGATGAATACCATGAAAGTTATCTTCCTACCAAATATAAAATATATCTGTCACTTAATAAAGGCTGTCGCCTATATGACTGAAATACTGTTGGAAAAAGGCGTAAAATGAAACAAACAAACAATAATAAAGGCTGTATGAGCAAATGTGTAAAAATCTATTTTTAGCATTGGTGACCTTGACCCAACTGACCCTTAACTCCATCAATGTTTATGTTTCTATCAATTATAAATAACATCTGTCTATAGAATAAGGTTAATACACCTGTAAGAATGTAAAACAAATTTTAACATTGGTGACCTTGACATTGGTAACATTGACCTTGACCCAAATGACCCCTTACTACACCCAAAGAAGGAGGATTTCCCTTGGCACGTTTGTATTAAACTAAGACATCAATTAAAAATAAAGGCTGCATGAGCAAAAATGTTAATATTTATTTTTTAAACCAGTGACCTTGACCTTGACCCTAGAAACCGCTTACTCCACAAAAAATTAGTGGCCCATCAAAGGTATCCACCTACTAAATATGAAATATTATGCAATTAGGAGAAATTTAAGATATTTAATCCAACTTGCCGAAATATGTTAACCAGACAAGGCCCTATTTCCAAAGTGAAAAAAGGGAAATAACTGGGAAATATGGATGACACAGTTATATAAACTTCAATTCATGTACTTTGTCTATGATAATTTATAAAAATTAAAAACCCATTTATAGATAAAATTTAAAGATATTTCTAACTTGCCTTTTTAGGTTAACCCATTTTTCTTTTTCTAAGTGCTGAAAAGGGGCAATTTGGGAAAATATGAAACCAAGTTATGTCATCCCAGATCTGTATTTTTTTGTTTTGTAAGTGTGAAAACTTAGGCCATTGTACGGGTAGAACTTAAAAAAAATTCCAACTTGCCTTCTGGTTTAACCCTCGCCGGACGAGGGATTAATTACTTTATCCCGGGGGGGCATAAAAACAAAATACTGACTTCGACTTAAAATGGATGGAATATTTCAATAAAGGATAATCACTGAAGGCAATTGCACTTTCTTTACATGATACATATTTTTGTTGAATATTCTGCTGTAAAAATTGTATTGTCTCTAAAGGGTTCCTAACATTTTCTTAATTGACTTCGAACAACGATTTCCAGCTAACTTTTAATAAACGAACATATATATAATCTTGACACATTGAAAAATAACCATTTGAGCTCCAGAAAATTAAAGAATACCTGGTGTACAAGCAGTGGTTAAGGAAAATTTTAAAAAAAGTGTCACTAGTGCTGTCTTATGGCTACATACATATTTACTAGCTTAGTCATTATACGGTTACTTCCATACTAATAACAACTTTTAAAGGTTTTGTACTTGTTGATGTTCTATATGTTTTAACTATTCTGAATGATATTATTAACTAAAGCACACGTTTACGGCGTTTGGAAAGAAACAAACATTGTAAAACTATACGATATAATATTTTGCCATTAAGATCATTTTTAAATTTTTCAATACACAACATGATCGTTTAGGATTTCTAATGTAAATTTATGTGTTTATATTTTCTTCTGATAATTGAAGTATATTTAATGTATATAGTCGTCATTTATGTAAGCAATCGTCCTGTAAAAATAGTTAAACTGACATTATTTATTGGTAAATGCAACTGACATGTAAAAATGTATGTAGATTAATATGACACTTTCTTTAAATGAAATCTTTTTTCAAACAAGAACAGTCCGCGGACAGCCCGCTCAACTTTTGCCAGCAGTGGATAGTAAAATTAAAACACCATGAAAAGGGGGCAATATTCTAAAATCGTGGTAATTAGACTTACTTACATGCCTCGGATAGTCAACAAATACTTTCAGAGTGAAAATACCTTCAATAGTGTTTGAGAAAAAAGCAAATATTAAAAGTCCAACGAGAGCAGGTGTTTGAGAAAAGGGCAAATATTCTAAGTCAAACGAGAGGGAAATAATAAAGCATAAAGGTTGTCAAAATAATATCAGTCCCTTCAAATGCTTTTCAAAACTGATATCGAACAAGGACTGCAAGTTTAAAGTGAATTGATGTTTGGTTTGAGAAATGAACCCCTAAAACTAATGTTAGAAAAGATACCTGCTTTTTAGAATGCATTCCGATTTTATAACTTAAAATGTTTGAAGTGATTAATTCGGACTATTGTGGAGAAATCGGCAATCAAAGTAGAAACATAGGTCAAACAAGAATTACTTTAAAAAAGGATACTCAGCCGAAGTAAAACGGGTTAACTTGCATATGTTAGTTCTTAGTGTTCCATACAAAGTAATGCAAAGTAATATAGAAAATGTTAGCATAGCTTGCATAACAATGACCTTACAATTTCTTGTAGGGTTATTTATCTTGAAAAATGAAACAATTTAAGATGTATGTGTTTTCAAACGAACTTGTCATGTTTCTGTAAGTGAACTCCTTTTCTAACACGAACATCTACGCAGTCGGTAGGCAATCATTTTTATAAATACTCTATCAATATGCAAACGTATATGAAAAATGTCAATATTTTATCAATTGAATTGAACACATCAATACACAAACGTATTGAAAACCATAAAGTAAGGGCACCTGGTAAATTCTGATATTATTCTCTTTTGTCTTGGACAAAATTTAAAACTCAGATCTAGCGTAAAATAAAATCAGTAAAATAAAATGTTTTGTGGGAGGAAGTATTGTTATACCTGAGCAATTAAACTGAAAAGTTAAGGAATGCTTTAAATTTTATTTTAAAACAACACTTAGCATTTTATTTCAGAATGGCCAATGAGATTCCCGGATTTTATTTTGAAATTTTAAAATGATCAATGAAAACACTTATTATATTCAGTTCTTCCGTATACAAGTAGGTATTTCCGTCTATGGAAGTCAGCGAAATTTGCTTATTATACGCGAAGCTTAAACAGAAAAGCGAAACTTCTCTTTATTTTCATTTAACATCAGCCATACTGTACAATTACGCATTGGATGCGGTCAAAAGAATAATGAAATTTAAAGGGTATTGATTAGTAATGTTGCTGGGTTACATTATGAAATGCGATGTGTATGCATAAGAAAATACGCTTCCTTGCCAAAAATAGAGTTCGGACAATTTTTAAACTTTTTTATATAGAATTGTTTCAATATAATTAAAAATACTACTTTTGTATGTGTGCACAATAACAGACCTCGCACAATCTATGCTTAAAAAATGTTTTCGAAGGGGAAACAAGAAACACCGCTTTACGGGATTTGGGAATAATTTTCGCCTGAATCAACGGTTTTTTTTCGAAATTTAAAAATTTAAAGGTTTAAACAAAAAATTTTTTTTAAACTAAAAGGATTCCTATTTATAGCATTTGTCCAAAAAATGTTTTATTTTTAAAAATCGAATTTTATACATTTCCAAAGAGCTACATTGAACACTTATAAATTCCCAGGCTTTTGGGATGTTGTATGTTTGGGGGAAAAGACTTTTTAAAAAAAGTAATTTTAAAAAAATCTGTTTTGAATGGGAAACTATTTCCAGACCCACCTTTTTCCCCCACCAACCCAATGAGCACAGCCATTTTTTAATATCAGTGAAATTATCTTTGGAACAATTGCAAGGTTCTTCTATGTAATGATACATTCCAAATAACTGAGATCTGGGATTTTAACTTTATAAAGAATACATATATGAAAATAGGGTTTATGAAAATATCTATTTGAACTTGTTGAAGGGCCAATAAATGGCCCTAAGGCAGCATGATTTAAAATATATATTTCTGTAGATGTCAAACCCATGGGACGACCCTTCATGCAAAAATATCTAAGCTTTTCATTCATAAAATATATTTTTTTTGGCTTATGCAAACGTGTTCCCATTAAGTTACCTTCTTCTTTAAAATTCAGCAATTGAAAATGGGCTAAACTTATAATATTGGTAATTCCTCCTACATTGTATAAACATATATTTTGTTTTTATGACAGGTACTGTCACTTTACATCATTCAACCCTTTAACCCATATCAAGAGAGAGAGACTGCCCACAATATAGCAAAAACAGTATTCATGTCCAAAGATTTTTGATAAATTACCTTGAAAAAAATGGCATGTACAGACTCAATCAAACCGAGTCTGCAATTCTCCTTGTAATTTTGTGGGTGCATTAATGCTTTCGGATCACTTTGTTTCCAGATTTTTATATCATATGCGTCATTTACAACTTTTTGTTATTTAGTGAATATACATATCTTAAGTAACATCAGTTGCAATTTAAAAGATTATCTCATTTCAAAAGGTCCTAAATTATTATAATCTTAACAGGAAAAAAATCTAAAAGTTTGATATTAAAAAAAATCATTATAAAGACATAGATGTTGGAATAAAACAAGGAGGTAAAATAAATATATATA